CCCCTGGAGCCCGGGCGGCCCCGCTCCGCCGGTGCGCGGGCGCGGGTCGGGGCAGCGGCGCCCCGGGCTGGGAGCGCTGCCCGGCGGGCCTCCCGCGAGAGCCGCACCTGCTGCAGCCCGGCGGCGCCCCCGGCCGGTGATCGGCGACGGCCCGGGACTGGCCGCCCCGTGCGCTCCCGGCGCAGAGGCTTCCCCGCGGGCGCGAAGCCGGGAAGGCTCGGCCTCTCTCCTTCGCGGTGTTGGTCCTGCGCTTAGCCGCGCGGGGGCCTGTGGCGGCCCGCTGCACAGGCCAGGCCGGGAAAGTTGCGCGCCGCGAAGTGCGGGGAGGCGTTCCGCGGCGGGGCCCCCGGCCGGCTCGGTGGCCCCTCTGAGCGGCGCACGCAGCCGGCGCGGCCCCTCTGCCCGCGGCCTCGGGCGCTGAAGCGGGCGCGGCGCAGCTTCACCTCCGGCGCAGCTCGTTCTCGCTGGCAAGATCGGCGCTCCTCTGCGCCCGAAATGGAGCCGTTGAGCGGACAAGCGGATCCTTACTCCGAACTGGCCCGCGCAGCTTGCTTCGTGTGCTGCACGGGACTTGTCCGCGAGAGTGGGACGGCAGCAAGCGCGGCCGTGGGTCCGGGAGGTGCCACGCCAGCCCGCCCTGGGGTCTGGATGCTGCTTTTAGATCCAGACCAGTGCAGATCAAGGCCTCCCTCATCCACTAGTGGAAGAAGCAGCCAGTCTGGCGTGCACAACAGGCGTCCTGGGGTGAGCAAGGAGGAGCTAGTCTCTCACAGTTTGCCCCCCCCCCCCCGGGGGCTTGGCTCAGCATCAGGGCAGACATGAGGGGAGAGACAGGGGAGCAGGGATCACGATGGTCTCTGTGAATTCAGTCTTGCCCACCAGGTGCTGATGACTAGTCTGATCAGGGGGTGTTTGCACCTTTGCTGGGCCAGCAGGACAGATGGAGGATTCTGGTCTCCCATCCACCCCACGACCCATCATTCTCCCCACCTGAGCTGACAGAGGTGGGCTCAGATGTGATGCCGACATCCCCCAGGTTGCTGGTGCTGGGGAACTTGCACGTTCATGCTCAGGGTATCCTCTCTAGGGCAGCTCAGGATTTCATGGCCGCCATGACAACCATGGACTGGCCCTACCATGTCACTGGCCCAACACACGTGGGCTTGGCCTTCTCATTTGGATATGAGGATGGAGCTCTGCGCATGGGGAATTTTGAGTCAGCCCTTTGTCAGGGTTGCAGAGTTGATGAAACTTTCATTTTTGAATTGATGACTTTAAGACATAATTTACAAATGGACAAATATATGGAAGTCTATGCATATTGTCTTTAACAGTAGTATATTTTATCATTCACAAAACAAATAAGGGTACACAGGATATAAATTCATTGTAATAGATACTTCCATACCTCTCATGTAAGAAAATCAGTATATTGTGAGTATGAAAATCAAAACCCCAGCCTACATATACTCACAATTCTGAAAAACTGAAATGTATGCAGGACGCATCAACTGGCAGTGGATGGAGTGGGAATGCACAGTGGGAAGGACAAGGAATCTGAGATAAGAAGAAACCCACAATCTGCAGCCTCTTCATCTTTGGTCCAGCAGTCTGTGTCATGCAGTCTCACAAAGACCCCTTGCTTTAAAGAGGAGCCACAGTTTCTCCTCCAGCACCGGGCTTGTCCCTTGTAAGCCCTTCACTACTTTTGAAGCCCAAAGGAAGTACTCCTGGACCCGTTTCGCCGACCAACCTGGTCAAAAAGAAATGAATCAGTGCTCTTCAAATTTTTCATTAATGAGAAAGTACAATGATTATCAAATTTGCAGATGACACAAAACCAGGTGGGACAGCTAATACCCTGGAAGAGAGAAACAAGATTCAAGGTGATCTTGATAGGCTGGAGTGCTGGGCTGAAAACAACAGGATGAAATTCAGTAGGGACTAATGCCAAGTTTCATGCCTAGGAAAATGAAACCAAATGCATTGCTACAAGATGGGGGATACTTGGGTCAACAATACTGCAAGTGAGAAGGATCTTGGCACTGCGGCAGATTGCAAGCTAAATACTAGTCAACAATGTGAAGTGGCTGCAAAAAGGGCACATACTGTTTTAGGCTGCATTGTTAGAAGTATGAATTCCAGCTTCTGTGAAATACTAGTTTCCCTTTACTCAGCACTAGTGAGGCCTTATCTGGAGTACTGAGTCAGTCTTGGGAGCACAGTTTAAAAAAGATAGACCAGCTGGAAAGGTTCCGAGGAGGCAGCAAGGATGACCCAGGGACTGGAAACAGAGCTCCATGAGAGATTGAAAGGACTGGGCCTTGGGAAGAGACGGCTGCGGGGGGAATGTGATAGCGTTCTACAAATGCTTGAAAGGTTGTCACAAAGGAGACAGACAGGATCTCTTCTTGATCATCCCAGAATGCAGGGCATGGGAAAATGGGGTCAAGTTATAGGAAGCCACATTCCAGCTAGATATCAGGAGAAATGTCCTGACAGCTAGAGCTGTACAGCAGGGGAGCCCATGACTAGGGAGGCCAGGGGCTCTCCCACACTGGAGGCATTCAGGACGCAATGGGGCCACATCCTGGAGAGGGACGGAGTGGCTTGGTGCCCTGCACTGAGCAGGGGGTTGGACTCGGTGGCCCTCCGGCCCCTTCCAACTCTTCTCTGATTCTGTGAAAAGCCGAAACTCGCGCCAACCTGGCTGTGCAAGCAGCTGCGTTGCTGGCATGCTGCACCACCAGAACGGTCCACGACGTGGGGTGGGCACAGGGAGCCTGCCAAAAAGTAGGCACCCAGCAGACGCAGCCCAGAGTAGCTGACCAAGGAACGCCCCGGTCTTGGCTGCCAAGGGCCTGTCCTGGAAAGCGCACAAGTGCTGGATGCTCGACTCTGCAGCCACAGAGCCCTCTGCTTACTGAGGAGACGCTTCACATTTTATTCCATCTAATTTAACTGGCTCTTTCGAGGCCTTTCAAATACCAAGCCACCCCCAGATGCTGGAGACAGAGCAGGGGGGACTCCAAAGAGGCCGAATCCCCTCGTCTGTTCCGCAGCTCCGCGGGGGCCACGGGGCTCCGCGCAGCGCCGGTCCCCCGCCCGGAGGCCCGCCGGGCGGCTGCCCGCACACGGACCTTGCGGGGCGCAGCGGTTCATGTCGCGCAGGTTGTAGAGCTTGTCGGCCAGCTTCACCAGCGCGGCGGCGCGGCTGCTCCGAGCGGCGCGCTCAATTTGCAGGCGCTTGCGCTCCGCCTTGGGCAGCGCCTTGTCGTCCGTCACTTCCTCCACGATGCGCCGCACCTCCTCGCCGAAGCGCTCCTCGATCTCGGCGAAGGTGGTGTCCGTGTCCTCCACGGTGTCGTGCAGGAGGGCCGCCTGGGGCAGGGGGCAGAGGGCAGAGCTGGGGCGGCGGGGGAGGGGGGAGGCGGCCTGCAGCGCCGCTCACTGGCGGGCTCCGCGGCGGCAGGGGAAGAGCGCTTGGCGCAGCGCGGGCCGGGCCGGGCCGGGCCGGGCCGGGGGGGTGGGGGCGTTACCTGCAGCACGGCGAGGTCCGCGACGCCGGCTTCCTGCGCCAGGATCTGCGCCACACCTGCGAGGACACAGGGCGGCGTGAGTGCGCGCGGCGCCGAGGGGGGGCGCGCGCACCCGGCCGCGGGGCTCACCGATCGGGTGGTTGATGTACGGCGTGCGCTCGGGGTCCTTGCGGCGCTGCGCGGCGTGCTTGCGAGCGGCGAAGTCGGCCGTGTCCAGCAGCCTCGCCGTGTCGGCGACGGCGGCCATGGCAGGGTGCAGCGGCCCTCCAGGCCTGGCGCCGCCTCCGCCTCCGCGCGCACGGCGCTATGGGAGGGCCCGAGCCGCGCCGGCCCGCCTCCGGGACGGCCCTTCGCCGGAGCGGCGGGCGCGGGGCCGCGGCGCCCTCGGGGAGGGTCGCCCGGGCCGAGGGCTGTCGCGCTGGCCCCCCAGCAGCCGGCGTCGGGCTCCGGCCCGCAGGGGAAGGGGCGCGGTGCCCTGGGGGCTTCGCGCTTTTCCGGCGCCGCTGTGCCTCCTTGCGCGGCAGCCCCTCCCTGCCTCCCTCCCGCGCAAACCGTGGATCGCCACCCGGTGCCCCCCGCCCGCGGCCCTTGCCGCATCTCGGCCGGCAGAAGCGTGTGTTTTGGGGCGCGCCGCTCCTGCCTCAGCCTGGTTCAGCTCATGCCTCTTCCAAAAATCCAGCAGGTGCTACTTTCAGGGAGGATATTAAAACTTAAACAGAATTTGTATTGGAACCATCTGAAATATTTACTAACTTCCACATTTTTGGTTATTTACCTGCTTCACAGAAAGTAAAGGATTTTTGTGCCCTTTTGAGAGCTAAAGACTTTTTATACACTCACCACCTGTAATGCAATGGATTGAAGGCCTTAAAGGCTTTCACTATCTTACAACATGCACATAGATGGTATGTGTTGGATCCACTTCTGAGAAACCTCATGTATATAGCAAAATAAATACATTTTATTGGAAATAAAAATTTATTGCAAACAAATCCAGGTATGCATATTAAAAGGAAGGTATTTGTGGGGGGGGGGCACTTTGTAGAACCCACAGCCCATGCCACTCTGGGGACCCACACTGTGTGAGGGCTTGTGGCTGAGCCATGTATCACAATTGTCCAGTACCATCTAGTCTGACACCACAATTAAGGTACGGGTCCTCAAACTTTTTAAACGGGGCCAGTTCACTGACCCTCAGACTGTTGGGGGGCCACACTATAGTTTGAAAAAAAAAAGAATTTCTATGCACACTCCACATTAAAAAAATTAATTAAAAATAATTAAAAATAAAAATTAATTAAAAAATGTTTGCTCTGCTCCCTTGGGCTGCAGCAGAGCCCAAGATGAGGTGGGGAAGAGCCTTCTATGGGCAAGCCGCCGCCACCGTTCGAGCAGCTGCCCCAGGACTCAGCAAGGTGGCTGTGGCTTGGCCCGCAGCCTGGGGACATAGCTCACATAATTAAAAATAATTTTAAAAAGTTGTATTTTCTTACCTTCAATCCTTTTTTAGTGTCTGTCTCTCTCTCTCTCTCTTCTGTTTCCCACTCCATATTCCCGCTCTGTATATGCATGCAATGGGGGGTGGGGGGAGCTGACGCACACACAGTTGAGTTTTTACAATTAGGCACGTGCGCTGGCTCTCGGCTCAGTTTCAGAGAACACCTGCACCAGCTCAACGCTTTTGGACTTGCTCGGAGATTGTTTTCTTTGAGCGAGTCCAAAAGCTCTGAGGCAGGCCGGAACTGGCCCACGGGCCATAATTTGAGGACCCATGAATTAAGGCATTGCCTTATTTGCCACACTATCTTAGTGTGGAATTATTTGCCATACTTGAGATCCATACTTGAGAAAATTGGAGAATCAAATAAGTGTTAAAAATCTGAGTATTTGATGTATAACTCAGAACTTGTGCTGGGTGTGGGAATAGCTATGGATAAGAAATTTTATGATTTGAAAACCTGTTTAAGAGTAGAACAAATTTACCCATCCCCCTAAAACTGCACTGTAAGTTAAATTTTCTGCATTCCCATCCAAGGAATGGGTTAGTAAAGACATTTAATGATTAGCATTTTATCTCAACAGAAGTTCTCACAAGCGGGTAATAAAGCAGAAAAATGACCATTTTACCTACTCTGCCCTCTTACAACTTGGCTCTACTGATACACACTTCCACCTGGCCTTTCAGTCCAAACTTTTTCTTTGGACACTGGGGAAGCACTAGAACCGTGTCCACTGCAGCACTCTGATTTGCCAGAGATATGCTGCATAACTAGTATTTTTATTGGAGAAAATACTTAACAGGAAGGTTCAGCATTTTGTCCTGCTGCTTGTGACCTGTCCTGCCAAATAAGCGATCCCCCCTGAGCAACACGGCAGTGCTGTGTGAGGACACCGTGATGTGTGTGAGGGGAGAGTGGTCAGGAGTCCCAAATCGGTGATTTGTAACGACTGACATAAGTTCAAAGAGGGGTTGGACTGAATAAGAATTGCAGGTTTCCCTTTGCCTGTTTAGGCAAAGTTTGGCATTTCCAAAGCTGAGGTTCGAGAGCCACACATGGGTCAGTGTCAAGCAGAGCATGGAGGTGGTGGTTGTTCTGCCTTCCCTTCCCTTCCCGGAGAGCTCTATTTTTTCTCTTACTGGTGAAGGACGGCCTAACTGGGAAAACGAGGCACCTGATCTGGGATGTCATGAAAGAGCAATCAGTTGTTTACTATGAAGCGTATTGTTCTTGGGTTTGTATTGTTGGGCAGAGGCCAACTGAGTCCAGAGCGAATGCACGTGTATTCACTGTTCCACCTCAGGCAGCCACAGAGTCTCGTGCCACAAGTTGCAGGGACGGCCCAGAGGGAATTGCTTTCTTGCAGCACCAGATGATCTGCTTATACACATTGAGAGATTTTGCGCCCGGGTTCCAGAGCAGCTTGAGGGGGAAGCTGACATCTTGGGAACAAGCATTTTCAAGAAGTCCATGGTGCAAAGCTGCTTGTTGTTCCTCGGCAAACACCAAGAGAGTCTGTGTGCAGCAATGATCCACAAATTGTTTGAACTGTGACCGCTGTCCCGCACTCATTCCCCACTTCTGTTTTGAATCGGCTTTCATTAACAAGCCCAAGTGCCCCATTCCTCAATAGTTTGAAACCAGAGCTCAGGGTGGTACTGTGAAACGGCCCAGAGTTTAACCCATCTGTCACCCATAGCATGACCCCTTCAACCTGCCAGGCTATGGATGAAAGCCAATTCCAAACAGGCAACATGGTGCAGAACCCCAGGGGCCTGCCAAGACAGGAGTGAAACAACACGTGACCGGGTGTCCCATGGGAACCAGGCCCCCTTTGCAACACAGGCCTGGTTCCCATGCGTCACACACCGGCCTCGGAAGAAGGGAAGCTGAGCGAGTCTCGAGGGCCAAATGCGAGCATCCCTTGGAGGGCGACAGCCCATTCCACAGGAGGACGCCTCAGGGCCGTTCTCCCGGCGTTTGCTTCACAGGGTCTCCTCGCTGGAGCTGCCACCTCCCGCCACCAGGGCCTCGTGCGGGATCCTGTAGAGGAGCCTCCCGTCGCGGTCAAACACCTCGCGGCCCCGCCGCACAGCGCCCCCCGGCGGCTGCCCCGAGGCCTCGCCCCGCGACTGCTCCTCGCAGGGCGCCCCGCCGCCGC